TTTATTGTTCTTTAACACTGCTCTTAGTATTAGAGAAATGCATTATTCCTCAAAACTTTAGTCACTTGGTGTATATGTAATTATAGTTGATACAATTATTTATTAATTATGAATGTGAATTGAAGTTAAAAGTGCTTGAATAGTTGAGTATTTGTTTTCAGTGGCTCATTTTCAGTTGATGTGGTGGGATTGTATGCAGTGGCCTGAATGGGAGACTTCTTTTATTTTTAAAAATTCAGGCCAGTTGCCAGTCAGAAGTGAACAAATTTCTACCAGCAGCAGAGACAAATGAGTATTCAGAAAACATGAAACAGCCGTCAACCATATTACTCTACAGTAGCCTTAACTAAAGGTATATAATCAACTGTCTCTTAAGTTTGTACCAATTTTTTTTGTAATGTATTCATCTATCACCATCATCTGTCGCCAAACTGGTTTACGGTCTCTAAAACTTTCTCCTTTTCTTTCAGCTTTTGGAATTACACATTTGCTGTCTGATTGCTGGCACTGATCTGTGATTGTCCAAGACAGGGGAGGTTAGTAAGGTGCTCAACATTTCATATGGAATGTTTAGTCCTACTGACTTCCTCTAATCTTGAGGTGTCTTGGACATCATTGTCTGTGGTCGCATATCAGACAAAATCATCTTTTTTGGACAAGGACAGGTGTTTTCAAGAATTTAGATGTACACTGTGCAAAAATAGTGATCCACCTAGCAGGCAGAATTTATGTGCATTTTAATATAACCATCTCTACAACCCCCCCCCCCCTTTCCCCCCTTTTGTTCTTAGTAGTCAACTTCCAAGTAACTCCAGGAGTGATTATATGTGACATAGACATGGTATGTATTTTCTGTGTTGAACCATTGAAAGTATATGAAATGCTTTTTAATTATTTTCTGTTATTTTGTACCTTTCTATTGCAGAGTTACCTCCCCTTTTTCTACAACAAAGTGAAGAATGTATGTAGGTAAAATGCATGTTTAAATTCCTTTTCTTGTAAATTCAGAGTTATAAAAACCAAAATTTTATAAAATTTATGGTATTTATTGTCTAATCATGCTTATTATTACATGAAATACCCATTAAAGAAGTCTAAATATGACCAGGGATAATCCAATTAGAGTAGTAAGTACCACTTCCTGACAGAGGCTGAATGAACCAGGTTGGATAATCTGCTTATAACAAAGGTATTAATCTTTTTACCCTAACTTTTATACTGATTTGTTAAAGCTTATATATTGTAGAATTTTTTAATATAAGTTTAACTAAAATTAGAATTTGCGAAATATTTTTATTTTTAAAATTTCCAAGAATTTTTTGCTTTTTGAAGGTATTTTTTTGAAAAATTGTTTAAAATATTTAATTTATGTAATAGGTAAAGTATAACACAACAACGTTCAATGATGGGTTACGTAAAGTTTTTAATTAGTACAAACAAACAAACAGTTCAGATAATCACCAGTCCAATATAGATGGATAGATCTTTATATATTGATGGATATAATACAGTCTAAGAATATCAGTCCGACAGAAAGTGTTTAGCCAGCACAGGGGAGGTATATCAAAGTTTCTTCTCTGGTGTCGTATAGTGGTCTCTCTTTTAATGCCGAATATGAGCTTTATATTAATTGTCAACTTCCCCCGGGCATGTCCACTTCCTTGGTCATGTCATGAACACCTCGCTGTTGTAAAGGTGTTACATCCAGCACCTTGGGTCGATGATCCATCAGTGATATAATTAATACGGTATTAATGACAGGGCGAATGATCTGTTACATCTAAATCACTGGACATGCAGGGATTATTATGCCCTGTTTAACACGTCCTTATCATAAACAACAACAAGTAAATGTTTATGTAGTATAAACATGGTGATAAATACAAGATAAATATAACGAACCTTCACCTGTAAAATATAAGTCAAGTGTATATTTAATTATTTAATTATAATAATTTTCATAACGTCAATTGTGTTACAAAAGTTTGTTTCTTGAATTTTGTATAAGACATATTTATCTAGTATACCAAAATATAAAGAAAGAAAATAATTGTAACATATGTGAGTTGTTAGCATTTCAAATTTGAGAACTGTGTGTCTTATGCTCATTTCATCCTCTGATTTAAGGTGTTCCAGCACATCAATTAAAGGGCCATAACTCTGCTTTGGAATCATCAATTTCAATGAAACATCAGCAGCTACTTTGTATAAACAAAAGACACCGGCATGTCAGATTTCAGCAAAATCAGACAAGGTTTGTGTCCTTATTAGGTTACAGACTACTAATTTTACCCCTATTTCATTGACCACGCAAGTAGTGCCAGTTTAAAAATAGAGGTTTTTTCTTAAAAATTCTTTGGGATGTATATGGGGTGGAATGGGGTTATTTTTGGGCATAGATGGAAAGGAGAGGGTCTGAAAAAAATTATAAAATTGATAATAATGGGAAATTTTGCTTTTAAGCGCGTAGTAGGAAGGGTGTAAAGAGGCCCATGTTTACCCTTTCCTCGAAGGAAAAGTGAAATAAGCAGGGTAGGGGTTATTTGCGATGCCACAGCAGGACTTGCAGACTATGAATTTTCCCGAGAGCCTGAAAAATTGTTGTTACTCTATGCCAAGTTTCAGGTAAGTTGAGCCGGTGTGATTTTTTACATTAATTTTTACATAAAGGAATGTATAGTAAAATAATTGGTAGTCTGTGTCCTATCAGTGTTATCTCTGGAGGCTACTTTTATTTAATTTAATAAAATAATAATTCCTTTTTATAATTATGAGATATTCATATTGTCCAAGTTAAAAATTTTAAGAAGTGAAATATTTCTTCGAGACATAGTGATGAATGTTACGGTAAAATAACCAGTTTTAAAGAGAAATAAGCAGTATTATAAAAGCTGTCATTGCATATACAAGTTATGTTAAGAATTATGGATCCCGAGGAAAAAGTAGGATAAAGTGATTTTATTCCCGTTTCGTCTACTTGTCGGAGAAACAATACGCGGATGCCATGACCATTTTTACGAAACATGCGTCATGGGTTAATCACACAGGAATTATATAAAAAATATTTATCTAATTTATTATATATTTTCTACAAAATTTAGCCTTCAAACAGGATTTCTAAGTTTGAGAGACTTATTCAGGACCGCGCTTTTTTCTACTTTCGTTTTGCGAATGACTATTTCCCTCGGTGTCGTCAGCTTTGCAACCGAAGAATCGAAATTTATTAACGCACAAAATTAAACTAAAATTGTCTCCTTTATTCAATTTATTTTGAAAAAAATTGAATTAAAGGAATCATTCTACATAAAAAAAAAAGTAAGCATGTTTTATTTCATAAATTTGACGATCAACATTTCGATTGACCAACACGCGAAGTTAAACTATGTCTTAGAAAAACATTTACAGGTAATACATAGGTAACATCCTGTGTATATAGGTAGGTATACACAAGCCAGCTTGGTTCCCTCGGGGCTTCACAGCAGTTTCAATTAAGCTCCACCCCACACCAAACTTACCTGAGGAAAACCGACCGGTTAAAAACCTCGGAGTAGTAAGGTATATACTGTGCAGTCACTTTACAGTCAAGATGACGTCATGGGGAATCCCAGGTCCCACCCACACAGGTCATAATTGAGGTCACAATCCAGGGGTGACTCTACAGTCAGGGTGTACTCTACAGTCAAGGGTGACTCTACAGTCAGGGTGTACTCTACAGTCAAGGGTGACTCCACAAATCTTACTGAAAATGACGTAACAACTATGACATAGCAACATTTCGAGAAAATGTCATTGTTAACTCTTGGTAAAGTGACATTGCAACTTTAAGGCAAACATTTGTAGGGAGCCATTTTTTAACCTGAATGACATAGCATTGAGGACTAAGGATAACTCTACAGTCAGAGTGACTCTGCAGTCACAAATCTTACAGAAAATGACGTAACAACTATGACATAGCAACATTTCGAGAAATACCATTGTTAACTCTTGGTAAAGTGACATTGCAACTTTAAGGCAAACATTTGTAGGGAGCCATTTTTTTAACCTGAATGACATAACATTATTTCACAAACTATATAACAGAGTTAAGTTTTCAAATTTTATTCACAGTCAAATCTCGTACGGTAACAGACATCTTCTAAAGGTAAATATGAAAATAGTTACACAATCTGTTTTTATTCAACAAGGAACACTTGAAAATCGTTATAAAATCTTTTTTACAACAGGGAACACTTGAAAATTGTTACAAAATCTCTTGAGTAATAAATTGTTATAATCACAGTACTTTAATAAGTTCATTTTCTTGTCACGATGTGCTTACAAAGGTGTGAACTTCACACGTTTTTTTGTCGGGGGTCCGTTAAATTTATCTTCTAAATAATTGAAGATGATTTGACTTTGTTTTAAATCATCCTCCATCCTCTTGTTTAATTTTCGCAATAATTCAAACTGCTCCTCGACGTTTTCTCGTTGTGGCTCTTTCATTTTTTTTTCCAGAGCACTATATTTCTGGGGATGGTTCCTCCTTTAAGAAAAGGAAATAAAAGTTAAAATTATTTGATTTGTAATCTAATCTAGTACATTGTGTAATTACAAAATGAAATATACATTGAGATATACACGTGAGTGAATGGTGTGACTTCAGTTAAGAATATTTGTAAATACATCAATACCTACGGTATCAAGTCTTTCAACTTTTTTCATCGCAGATTTTCAAGTTTAATTACATCAAGAATTAGTGGTGGATCCAGAAATATACATTATTTATAGTCAGTAATTAAAGGTATAGCTAATGCTGTTGTCCTCATAAACTTTTTCTTAATTCTACAGTATCTTTTTTATCCAATGAAAAAAGAAAAGATGATTTGTAAGTGGAATCAATTTGCTAATTTGAAGCGTAACAGGAAGGATAACTCCAGGTAGAGATTAATGGGACCATTATAAAAGCAGAGTTATCGCTCTTTAAAATTACATTTCATGAATCTTTAGTCGTGTCCATTTTATTGAACTTGACGCAACAACTTTCCGTTGTAGCTAAATTATACAAATGTTTTAATAATATGTAAATTTAGCTTACCTGAAAGAGGTGAGAATTGAATCTTCCACGTACTGGAAGTTCTTCTCCCCTGTCTCCTCAGCTACCACAGACACAGTGGCCGGTGGCCAATTCTCATCATGCGCCGGAGAATACGTCGGTTCCAGGGATAATGTCTTTTCTTTAGGAACCACCGGTGTCACGGTGACTACTCTCTGAGGCGAAGGTGGGCACGCCGATTTTTCCAACTCTTCGCCTATCTTAACCCACATTTCTTCGAACTCATCAAATGAGTTTAAATCTTTTGTTTCAGCACTGTAAAATAGTAAAATAAAAAAGAAGATAAATAAAAGAGAAAGATTTTATTTGGATTTAAAAAAAAAAAAAAAAAAAAAAAAAAAAAACCTTTTGTATTGTATTTAGACCCGTTAAAATATGGTTTATTAATATTTCACTTAAATGTGATAACAAGATTTTACATTGAAAAAGAAAATGACTTTTTAATTATCTGAACTACTAGATTATTGTGTTTCAAATCTGGTTTTCTAATAAAATACGGTCGGTTTTTTGTTTTTCACTTTAGTCGTTATTTTTTTTTTAACTGGTTCATAAGGATCTTTGTTAAAAGTTAAAATTGAAAATTGCTATGATACAGAAAGTTGAAAATTTTCTTCTGCCATCTTCGCTCACTACTACTGATTTGTTTTTTTTTGTTTTTTTTGTTTTTTTTCTTTGTGAAAGGTACCGTTAAAGTTTACTCTCCCATTTTTAACAGTTAAAAATGAAAAGTGTTATAAAATTAATAACATTAGATTAAGATATAATCTACTTACAGAAAGTTGAAAATTTCTTCTGCCATTTTCTTTTCTCAATTCAGTTTCTCTCACTACTACTGCGTTTTGAGTGGAAGGTACCGTTAACGTTTCACTCGTCCAATTTATACCCAGGGGAGGAAGTAAGTAGGTGAAAAGTTATGCAAGAAGAATGGTTTATAGTCTATAAGGGTACTTTTTCATATGATTACATTGCAATTTTTTTTGAAGGGGTGGATATGACGTACGGACGGTTATCAAAATCATAAATCTTACGAGAAATAGAAATTATAGGGTCGGGTACACACCCGGGACAATAGCTTTCCTTGCGCAATATTACGGGGGGTAATTTCATTTCATGACGTGTTTTAATTCAACCATGACCCTCACATTCTGACTTGCATTTTTACTGCATACGTTGTGGTGGTAAAATAATATGATAAAATATCGAGGATGTTGATTAAGAAAACCAACAAATCAGAAACATTTTTTTAAGTATAAAATTAATCATATGTTGTGTTTTGTAAACTAAATTCGTTATATATAAGAGGAGGATTCAGACATATGACCTAATCAGAATTATATATAAGAAATAGCACATCATTTCTCACACTTAACGTGGACAACTTTAAATCATTTTAAAAATTCCGCTTTATTACAACACACCTGCGCAAAGGTAGTGTAGCGTGTCCTGACATGACCTAGTATCAGGTGGACTTCAATAAGTGCAAACATCGTGACTTTTATCTCTGTATGTAAATATACAAAAGAAATATGTAAAAAATTTAAGTTTATAATGTATCCATTCAAAACATTTTAAAAACAACAATTGTAATTTGAATTAGAGCTGATCATACACGGGTGATAATACCTTGCATCGTCTGTCGGTTAGATTTAAAACAGCTCTGTGTCTAATATGGGTACAGCCCACTAATTGTTTTCCCATAGGCGGTAATGTTAACGTTTCTTCACATAGCAATGTCCCTAATTTTCGTTCAGCATTGAGTGACCCCTCAAATCAAAGCACATCAAGTTGTCTTTCCTTGGTTAAAATCTCGAGGTGGCATGTCAGATTCGTTTTCCGGCAAAATGCGTCTGTCTGCGTTAACCTCTGAAAATGAAAGTGAAAGTAGGGGAATTCAAGACTTCTCACTGGTGTTATAATACATAAAATAATTCTGCTGATCTTCTTGATAAATTACATCTGCCAAGCTTTTTTGCAAGGGAACATACTCTTTATCAACAAGTATGAGGCTCAGTTTAATACATTATCACAGTTTTTTAAATTCAGGTCTGCAAATTAAGGAACTTGTAACTTTTTCTGCACTACTTTCTTCTCCTACCGATTCTAAAAATAATTAGAGGTATGTACCCAATATGAAAAAGTATTTTCTGGATTTTACAACATTTTACATCAAACGTCATACTACAGTCTACGTAGTGACATTATGCCAAATTTCAGGAAAATTCAATCATTAATAAAGATTTAACAGCATACACAGTTGTATATGCAAAATCCTTTTAAAATGCTTCCATCTAGCCACAACTGCACCCAAATTTGAAGTCATCGGTTAGCCTATTAATGTACTTATATCATTTTTATTCTCTTTCAGAACTTTAAATACATCAAGCAAAATCATAATCAAGCACTCATATGGGTCCATTTCTCTTATTTCAAAATATTAATGCATTTTTGCACAAAATTTTATCATCCGTCACCCTTGAATTCATTGTTTCTCCATGACTGACAAAAAAATTAAGTTTACAAATACCCCGAAAGTAGTAAAACTAGAAAGTACTCATTATTTCCTGTCCATTGATGTATCATTCAGGAAAATTGGTGTAGGAATAAAAAAGTTATAAGCCTTTACATTCTTGTATACATTCATCTGTTTCAAAGCAATTTTTACGCCAATGCAAGTTCACTCATCTATGACGTCATAATGACATCATAATAATGGATTGCTTATTACACATGTAGTGTTACTTTTCCCGTACTTTTAATTAAAGATGAAATTAGAACTAAAATATTCATTATAACTTTAAAATAATAAAAATACTTACATGAGCAAATCAAATAAATAGTCTACAGAAAATGTTTTGTTTCCATGGTAACCATTTTGTAATTTGTAGGAAAATGAAAGAAAACTTTGAAAATTTTGAATTTCCTTACAAGTTGCTCATTCTGACTGACAAATATTAAAGAAATTTCAACTCTTATATTTTTTAATCTTAATATTTTATCATACACAACACTATGAATGTAATTGTTTTGAAATTCTTTTCAAAATATATTAGCTGTAAAATATATAGCATACATGTACATACTAGTTTGATGGTCACTTTCATAGCTCAAATATTCATTTAAAATCTACATTTTCTAAGCTTTAATGACACCTCCCTCCCCCCCCCCCCCCCCACACACACACATACACACAAAGAAGCTTTAGAAAATTCAACTTACATATTAAAAGTACTGCGGCCATCATTTTACATGTGAAGACTCGAGATGTGTTCAAATGAGTTTGTTTTTACTGACTGATAGTTTTAGACACCATCTGCATGAACCTCGAAGTTGTCCTGTATCACCATGAACCTAAAAAAAAAAAAAAATCAATTTAAAAATTGGTACAATAATTTATCAGCACCTAAAGCATTCACAGACAGACAACAAACACACACAATCCTACCACATTCCTTTTATGCCCATAATTTGATATCAATTGAAAATTATGAATTTGCACTGATCATGCTGATTAGTCTCAGCATTGTTAAATTACATGTAAATTAATAATACAGGTAAAAAGCATGTTTACTGACAATAATTATACATTAGACAAATACAGGTAATGCATTTAATAAAAAAAAATGTATTGTGCATGTTCACGCACACACTGCTTTAAAACTTCTACACAAGACTGTAGCCTGACAGACTTCTTTGAAAGAATGCACAAGTATGTCCTCGTTCATGTCATTCTATTTCATGAAAATAAATTTTTCATTTACAATTATTGTAATAAGGCATGGAAACCTTTTTTTTCTTTACCTCTTTCATAAAATGACAAATGCATATCACCTACATACTGCAAGACTCTGCATTAGGTAGCACTAAGCAGTTTTGATAACTTACTTGCCACTCTACTTTCACTTTGACCTTGAACTTCACTGAATACTGATTCCGACCTCATTTGTGAATTTTTGTGTATTGAAAATAAACAATAGTGGTGGATGTACTTTTAAAATAATTGTTCCTTTTCTAAATATCTATTAATGGCTCTGAATTAATAAATTGTATAAAATCGATACATTTAATTTACATGCTACATGTGTACACAATATGGGCGATATGTGCATAAGCTGTCTGTTCCGGGGGGGGGGGGGGGGGGGGGGTAGTAACAAATCGATTTGTTTCAAAATATGTATAAACAAATTAAAATTTGCTTCTTTCATAAATTTAAACAATTGGAAATGATAGTAAACACCGAGTTCAAAACAAAGTAAAGATCTATGAGAATTTTCTCTTACCAATAGGCTCAACATATTGGGTACAGCCCACTAATTGTTTTCCCATAGGTGGTAATGTTAACGTTTCTTCACATAGCAATGTCCCTAATTTTCGTTCAGCATTGAGTGACCCCTCAAATCAAAGCACATCAAGTTGTCTTTCCTTGGTTAAAATCTCGAGGTGGCATGTCAGATTCGTTTTCCGGCAAAATGCGTCTGTCTGCGTTAACCTCTGAAAATGAAAGTGAAAGTAGGGGAATTCAAGACTTCTCACTGGTGTTATAATACATAAAATAATTCTGCTGATCTTCTTGATAAATTACATCTGCCAAGCTTTTTTGCAAGGGAACATACTCTTTATCAACAAGTATGAGGCTCAGTTTAATACATTATCACAGTTTTTTAAATTCAGGTCTGCAAATTAAGGAACTTGTAACTTTTTCTGCACTACTTTCTTCTCCTACCGATTCTAAAAATAATTAGAGGTATGTACCCATATATCGAAAGGTGAAGTTAACAATGTCTTGGACGTCTAACCTAGCCATTCGACCCTTTCATCCGTGATACATAAACATTTAAGTAGATCTAATTCACCTTTAAAAACTTTACCATGTCTATATATCTGTGCACAAGTATTTTTTTTGTAATATATGTCCTGACTTTCCACTTTTAACCCCCCCCCCTCCTTATTTTAAAAAAAAGAAAGAGAGAGAGAAATGAGATATTTAGTACCTTGAAACTGGATGTTTTACTTTAGATTTAAGAGCAACTGACACAATACTGATGTGTTTATCTTATCTTCTATTCTTCTAAATTTAGAGAGAGAGAGAGAGAGATATTAACAACTAGATCCGCCTGTATCTTAAAAAAGGTGGGAAAAGGTCACATGACCAGGGTAACTTGCACGAGATTGAAATCATGCGGCTGAGGAAAATGGCGATAAAACAAAGCATGTTACTGACAGTAGATGTAATAATTATTATCGCGAGCTACACCTCTTATGCGTTCGAAATGAGATGTAACCCTTGTCCGGTAATAGATGGGATTGCAGACTGTAGGTCCATCTTTGGCTGTGTAAAATTTACATCATGGCCAATCAAGGGTTTACGAGACATCCTCGTCCGAGATTGCAGCATAGCCATGCTGCCCCCTGAAGCAATTAACTTTGCAAGAAGTTTTGGAGGGAACCACGGGGAACGATGTAATAGTAAGTACAAATTATTTGTATAATACGTGCATGTTGAACTTTTATTTTTTATTAGCCTATTTTTAGATCTATTCATAATCATGATATTATTTTATTGGAAATGTTCTCTCTTCTAATTATTATTTTTTATTCATTATCTCATACCGGCGGTGACACCACTTGTCGACTAGTTGATCGCTGGCTTCTGGCTAGCAGGTTTCTCATCGATTTGTGATAAAAATAAACTATGACGCAAAATCCGGGTCTATAGAGACGTTCGGATTACCTCGTTTGTTTACTGGTATTTTCCCCCCTGTCTCTATCGTACAGTACATTGTACAGTAAAATGCACTATATTTACAAAAAAAATCTACCACTTATTGTTCAAATATTCAACGAATTTCAAT